AAAATTGCAGAATGAATCTGAAAGTGTAAAAAATTAAGAACATTTAAGGGTTTAATGAAATATCTGATTGTTTTCTTCTGTCTCATTTTAGATATATATTTAACATATCTGACGGAGGAAAGCTTTAAAAGGTTCCAGAAAAATATTTCTTCTAAATGAAAGAGACAAGACCTCTATCAACCCCATAACTCTACATCATACATTAATATATATATATATATATATATATGTATATATATATATATATATATATATATATGTACATACATATTGTATAATAGTAAAATTTTGTTTGTTTGTGGCGGTGTCTGTTTGTTGAACAAAGCTTTCACATGGATTGATGGATCTTGACTAAACCTGGCACACATCCATCATAATCCATATGGAACTCTTAAGGGGTTATGAAGTTTTTATAACATTCCTTTTGGAGCTGGGGGCCCCGAAAACTTATTTTCCTGATTTGAGCTACATAAAGAAAATTAACAACAAATACTCCTACATCCATAGATGGTTATTGACCAAACTTAATACACATGTCCTTGATTATTCATACTATAAAAACGAAGAATACCGACCTCTTAATATTCATTCCTCTGGGACCTGAAGTCCCGTTTAATCTGTTCTTACATTTGCTATACAAATATAAATAGGATTAATACTAATACATGAGTAGATGGATCTTGACCAAACTATTTACACCTACACTTATTTATCCACATTCAAATACCTAAGGGTATAATATCTATCCCTCTGTGTCCGGGGGCTTCCTTTTTCTAATATCTGTAATGTGAATATCAATAGGCCAGGACAACACTATGGTTTAAATGTGAATTGATGGACATAGGCCTATTGTAGTAGCAATACACTTAATTGTCCAAAATGAAATATTGGTGGATGTAAAACTTAGAAAATGCAGAACATGCCGGCCCAATCTAGAATCTTCTGGAAAGTTCGATAGTTTAAAAAAAAGCGATATCTATGGAATTTTAAAAACGATATAAAATTGGAGAAATTTTAACTCTATAATTTATTTGAACGATTTTTTTAGGACCCCCCCCACCTTACCCAAATCTTAGACATAACTAAAAGGTTATTGTTTTATATGGGCCTCCACTAAGGCTCTGGTTCAATTTACATGTACTATAGTTATAGTAGTACAATTTAGTTGTATAATATTTCACATTTGAGAAATAAATAAAAAGAAAAATATTTTTTTTTACACATTTTACGGAATATGTTAAATTTAATCTTCCAGGTGGTTCTATATTGTTTTAGGGATTATATAAATGGATTTAAAAGACAATCAGGCATTGGAACAATCTTTCAAAAAGAACAGTTGAGGCGACAACACTAGATTTATTTTTGTCTATTGCCTCAAGCCTTCAAACCCCCAGTGCATGATTTTCTCACAAAGTGGCACTGGATATCAGTGAAATGTCTTCATCAACACCAGGCACAGAAACATTGCAAATCCCCTCTACATGCATAGGAGCCAAAATGATCAATAATTTGATCGTGGGCCCTTAAGATATAGAAGAAGAAGAAGAAAAGCGTATTCGAACAAAATCGCACTGAGCATGATCCTATAGACGAACAGGATCCTAATGGGAACGAGATCCAAAAGTAAACTGCAGCCCATCGGTTAAGCGAACCCATAGGGAAACGGGATGCAATCGTGATCACACCGGGAAACAGGACTGCGCCGAGATTGGGGTCCTAATGCAATCCCGGGCCACGCCCGGTATGTCCGATAGTTAATTTCTAAAATTGAGAGCGCTAGGAAGGCACAGAAGTGGAAGGTTTTGCTGACACAGTTTTATAAAGTGCATTAAATCATTATGCATATGTATGTACCAAACAATGCTTATCTGCCAAAATATTTATTTAAACTACATTATGTCAACCCCATAAAGAGACTTCACCTCTGTTTTTATGCATAATTCTAATTTTAATTACGGCTATTAACACACCATTGATAAAGTTTATTAAAAATGAATTATAAACATCTTTATGAATTATTATCGTTACTTAACAACAACAAAGTTTTATGAAAAGAAATGAGTATTATTATAATGAAGATAAATTCACTTTTGATTTAATTGCATCAAGCTTTCGACAAAAGTCAGTTTTTTTAAAAAATGATTAAAAACACTAATTAAAATAAACTAATTACTTATAATTATGTGCGCCTTACTTGCTTCGTCCATCAAATAAAAGCTGTGGTTCCAGATGCCATGGTTGAATTTTATTTTCAAGTCATATCTTGTAAAGTTATGGAGTGAGACATTCTTAAACATAAACTTAAATTTGTATTGATATATAGTGCTATTAAAAGGAGTCTTTTCGTAGGATGAAATATTTAGTTTGTCTTTAACTGTATCCGTCAAATCAAACTTGTGATTGTTAAGAACTATGGTATAATTTAAACTATTATTAGCTAGAACACAAAAGTCTATTGAACTATCGTTGCTCTGGGCAGCAAAGAAGTACATTTTTGGAATAGAATCCTTACAGTCGGCAGGGTACTCTTCTGAAATAGCGATATTTTACACAAATATCAATAAAAAAATTAGATGCAAAATCGAGATCGATATTTTAAATATTATAATGTTAAAAAAATTAGGTTTTGAATGATGCTATTATTCTATTCTGTGTCTCGTAAAAATATACACATAAGGGAGGGACCGTGCACATATTATATAACAAAAATAATGTGAAAATGTTTACCCGTCACTTCCTCCTTTTAACGTTACAGAGCATTTTGATTTACCATAATACTTAATTGCTATATATCATTTTTATCTTACCCCACTCAGATCAACAGTGCAAATATTTTTTTAGAACATTTTATAAACAATTTTTACAATTAATCAAATGATTAGTGTACAAATAGTCCTGCAAGACTTCATGAAATCTGTATAAGAACTAAAACTGATAACTTAACATTATTTTTTTTTTTAATTACTTATTCATAAATTAACTATTCAAAATTTAACGTATCATGATTATCTAATTTGGTTCACGATGTACAATTCTCAAAATTCATCTACATCAGAAATAATTGTAAAACATGATATAATGTTTTAAAAAAATTATTTATTCGCCACTCTTCATCCAACAATTCTATAATTCTCGAGTTCAGTAAAAATAAAAATATTTTTTAAAAAATATATTATTGTAACAATAATTTGTTTAAATATTAATACATTCAAAATTTGATTCAGAAAACAAAATTTGAAGGGCACGCAGATTTATTCAAGTTTATTTATATGTAAATACTATTTTCTATTATAGTGGTTTTCTGGTTTTTGCCTTGCTGCAATTCGTGTCGACCGAGTCTTTGGAACGTCTTTTGTCTTAAATTTAGCATGGGACTGATTCTTGAAGTTGCCAAATAAAGACTGGGATCAGAAGTATAGCGTGCACACAGTACCTATTCTATTTGTAATTAAACTATTAAACAGTCAAACAAAATCAAAGTTACGGTGTGGCAGTAGAATCATATCGATCTTGTGAAGATGTTAACACAATGACAAAAGCTTCCAGTCTGTTTCCTATTTCTGAGCTGTAGTTAAATGAATTAAATAAGATTATAGAATATCAATATTTGTAATGCACGTTTTAATGGCCACTGTCAGGAAATTTTGAATTAATATATAAGTGGTGGGTATAAGCAATTTTCAATAGGCTGGTTTTTTAACTTTTCAATCACTTTTTCACTATTAAAAATGTAAACTTTAGAATGTATTAATGTTTATAATATCAAATAAGTCTTAAAAATGTGTCTTTTTTAAATATTTATTTAATGTGGAAATTGTAACAGCGACTGGCAACAACAATGCAGACGACGTGTACATACAAAATAGTTTACAACATATTAATTGTAGGCTGTCGTTGAAATTTTAACAATAATTTTAGTACAAAACAAGAAATTAAGACGCCTTGCAATGTCTAGAATTTTTCATCGAGACATGGACTACTTTATCTCGCGATTTTTTAGGCCAATTGACCACCCTTATCTTGTTTTCATCTTAATATAATGTAGAGTTAACATGTTTTTAATAAAAAAAGAATACTTTAAAAACAATAAAAAAAATCAACTTTCACTTACCTTAACTTAAGGAAATGTTGCTACGTATCAGTTTTGCGATGTTAAAATTTGAAAAAAATGTGCATAACTTTTTTTTTATATTTCAACGCGCTTTCAGTGTCTTGTATTTTCAAAAGGAAGCAAATTAGGAAATGAATTGGTTAGACAGAAGGACCAAGACATTTTAAAAAACTACATAAAAATAAAAAAACCAAAACAAAGCCAAAATAAGAAAAAGTTAGGTTTTTTTTTAAAGTCCTAAATAATTCAGCAAAAAATTTAGTTTCATTACAAAATTTGAAATGGAGATTTGTTTGTAAAAATAATAGTTAATTAAAAAATGTATTATAACCTAGCTCTCATGATATATAATTTGTGGACTGTCCTTACAAATTAATGATCCTTTTTCTTTGCATAGTCAATATCGTTTCAAAATATATATATCTATAATCATTTCATCAAAATTAAAAATCATAAATTAAAAATAAATTTTAAAATATTAAATATAAAAAGTTTGAAGGTAAAACAGATACATAAATAAATAAATCTATACATTTAATTCTTATTTTAAATAATATAATCTAAATATATTTAATTAATTTTTTTGTATTTTACCTTTAGTGTTCATCAGAGTGAATGAGATATTTTTGCATTGTTTAGAAGTCGATTGTAACGTAACGTCATAAGTCCTAAAATCATCGTCTGTTACGTTACGTATGAATATTTGTATGTGGTATTTATCATGTTGTTGTTGGCGGATTATATCTGCAGTCACTGCGTATTTTGACGTCTGGTTATAGCCATATATTGGAAATGGTTTCCCATTAATACTTATATAGTTTTCTAAACTTGAGTTTGATATAACACAAACGTGGAAAACTGCAGTAGACTCCAATCTCACGTTCATAGACTTGTTTTGATCTTCACCATCACACAATTCAATACTATTAGATAGACCTGGAAAATAAAAGACATGAAATGGATGAGCATTTAATTTTGTTTTTTTTAAATAAATGAAGGAAATTATTTAAATTTAAATTATTTGTTTATAAAGACTAACTTATAAAATTTTAAAATTTTAAACACTTTCAAAAAAGAATAAATACAGGCTTTTTTATCTGAAAAGATGATATGAATAAAATAGTATAAATATCTTTGAATAAGAGTTACATTTTTAAAAAATGTGTTACGTACCTTCAAAATCAATAGTTACCGTGTATTTTATTGGGCAGTCTGACATTGAATATACAACAACGTTGTACTTTGCAATCGAATTTAAAGTAAAGTTGAGTATTCCAATAGTAAAATTGTACCGTTCTTCCCCTAATAAACGTACGTTAATACTGTATCGATTTGTTGTTGTGTTTATTGAAACCTTAAGCTTGTTTATTTCTATATCTTGTCTTATTCCATCTTTAGACTGGACGAGAAAACTAAAACTGATGTCTTTGTCTTTTTGGATCGAAATGTTTCTTTCTGTCTGATTCCCGATAAGTAAAATGCCAGCTGCAGATAAAAAAATTGAATGACTATCACTTCTTGAACAGAAGGACTCCCACACTGTGTGATCCACCGAGACCATCACAGAAACTATAAAGGCTAAGTTTACCAAGATCGAGCATAGAACATGAGCAATATAGCAGTAGTAATGATGATACCGTCTGTATGTTAGGGAAACTTGCTTTGTTTTAATATACCTTTCTAATTGGATGAAATCCGTTTGATGTATATACATTGAGCACCACGAGTGTTTCACGTAGGAAGTTGTAAATATTATTGTGTAATAAATATTTGTAGTTAATTTCACCTTTAACTAAGACTTCGTTTCAGTTTATACTATATGTATATAGATATGTGTTATGTCCGTGTGGTTATTCGGCTTAAATAACATATCCCTAGACAGAGTGCCAAGAGGAGATCTCATACGAGAGACACTCCTCTTTAATAAGTCATAGGTCAGATCACCACACGGGTGTATCACAAGGGATGATCAGCTTACATGTCAATGAATATTAATGATTTTATGTATATACTTATTAGAAATATAGGCAGACATTGATATAGAATATAGACATATAATTAACGCATGTTTAACGGGTTTTCACTTTTTATATCATTAAATGGCCAAGATTATTGATACATGTGTATTTTATGTATGCTTCTTATCAAATTGACAAAATAAGTTATACTACTTTCTAGAAAAAAAAAATCTTTTGTTCTTATTCCATATTATTCGTTGAAACTCAGAGAAAGCTAAATAAACACTTTAATAAAGAATAATAATAAAGAACTTTATATAATCTATACATAATTACAGAAACATAACAGCTTCTAGAATAATTTAAACTTTTCCTTTCAAAAATTATGATTTAAACACTTATCAAAATTTTAGTTTTGCTCATGGTAAAAACATGATATTATTCCCCCATGTCAAAATTATAAGCGCTGGCTGGATTCCTATTCAGGGGGTTATCTTGTTCTTGTTGGAATCCAATCTTCATTTGTTTATTGATTTGATCAAACTGTCCTAAAATACCCCGTTAAACGTTGGATAAGTGGTCAACTCTGGCAAAGATCTATCAATACAAAGAAATGCGTAAACTGTAATCTAAGATGGATCAAATGGTATGTATATATCCCAGGCGTTTATAAGGGAAATTATTATCCTGAAATTCTCTTACATAAAACTCCTGAAAATTAATTGAAAGTTACAATCTTAAAACCTCTGGCAACTTATTAAAAAAAGTAACTCAGTGATTTGCAAAAAACTCCTAGAATCTATATATATAATTCGCCAGAAGAAGTAGGTCAAAAAAGACGGGACGAACACCATGCTTGCTATATATAGATACGCCAGAGCAAACAAGACGACACATGCAAACCCTCTGCTCCCTTCCCTTGCCTGCTCACCATTTGTCTCAAGACATGCGCACTGCGGTGGAGCTACCGTCCCACCTCCCTCCTGCACCACCCTCACTTGCCAGCTAAGCCCGCGGCGTCTGCTAAGTCGCAGGTCGCCTATCAAGAAAAGGCGGGGTGGGGGTGGGGGAAAAGGTGTGTAGCAAAATTGGCATTCTTAAATGTGCATAACTTGAGTTCACGTTTACGTTTGGTAACTTTAGTTGATGGGAAGTTCACGCAATGTTTGGCGGGCTATATATAGTTAAATATAAATAAATGGAAGTAAAATAACATTAGCTTTTATATTTCTATATATCCCCAGTGTACAAACAGGACGTTTCTTACAAATTCGATATTTCTTGTAATACCCTTCTCGAAACATTGGAAAAATTACCTTTATAAGTAATTCGAAAAGACAAATATATATTTAAATAGTCCAAAATTTCTACGATTTCCTTTTAAGTTAAAAAAGGAAACCTGATGTGGGACCATTTTTTATAAAACATCGATTTAGTTATACCTAAGAAGGCGAGCTTGACAAAAAAAATATTCATATGACGAAAATGATCACAATTTAAAAGTTTCCCATTAAAAATATTGAAATACAATATATATCTAACCTATTTATTTTTAGAACTTTTGTGACAATTTTTTAGCAGACTTGAATGTAATGAATAGCATTATGATACCTTTAAATCCTCATATTTTTCAATTTTACAATAAAGGTAATGAATGATAAACTTAAGCTGAATCAGTCAATGCCAGAAGAAGCTTTTATTATTAACTAGGTATACTATTATTTATACAGATGTTGAAAAAAAGTTAAACTAGGATCGCCGGCCTTAAAAGTGTGAATTTATTGAGTTACAAATCCACAAGCAATTTAATATGGATAATCAAAAGTATGTGTACTATGTTTTGTCTAGAGCCATGCATTTAAGCAGGGGTGTTTGTTGCTATACACTTATAGAAATGAAAAGAAATAGAAAGACATGTTATATCGACCTTATTCAAAGAATGAAATACATATTAAAGCTCAAAACACTCAAGCATTTCATTCTTTTTAAGTAGAGGATACGCATGCCAAGTTTGGTCAAGATGTAATGTAGGGGTTAGCATTATACGCGGGCGCACTTGTCAGCAATATTAAATTAAGCAACATTTACTATTGAAAAAAAAACTCCTATGAAAACTTTTCACTCGATCCACTCGTGTTCGCCTACAGTAGGCACCTCGTATCTTCCTATAAAGAAATAATTTGAATAGCACCGCTTTACGGGATATTAACATGGTCGTTTTGATATGAACACAATTGGTTTTAAATATAAGAATAATTATTAAAATGTTTAACTCTTTTTTTTTTTTCCCCAAATTTTTGTATATTTATTATATTTCTGGTTTTTTATTTAAATTAACATGATCATCATACGCTTACATGGTGCTTTAGGGTTTTAAAAAAAAGTTTTTGTCTCGCATTTATTTCTGTAAATCCTTTTATACACCATAATAAACGGTACATAAAATCTACTAAAGTCGGCCAAATTTTTTAAAAAAAATGACCTGATGTGAAATGATCAGAGAAGCCAAACACTACTTAAATTATACATTTAGCATAGGTTATTCAAGGCTGACTGACCGAAGCATAAATTTAATAGTTTTTTTTCCCATTTTTACGAGCTACGATTATACACTTTGTTTCAAGCAGGCTTTTAATTAAATTGATGTACTTATATCATGCACTTTATATCAAGATGAACCTAATGGTGGGGTTTGACATCTTTGTTATATAGATTCCTGAAAGTAACACTAGCTTAGTCCCTTTATTTTGTTGGGTAATGTTTCCACTTTTTTTTTTTTTAAAGATTATATCCCTGGCCTAATTAAACTACATAATTGAGACATCGTTAAGACTTTACCTTAGCTATTAGAAGTAATTTAAAAGTGTCCCATGGTGAGTGTTAACTTTGACACATGCTGTTAGAGTCTTATTGTTTTTATGCCAACTGAGGGGGAGTGGTGCTAAAAAAAGTTAAAATTCCAAATATATGGCTTTTTCAGACTTTTTTTAATAAAACACATTTTAAGATTTACGTCATATTTGTCTGAACCGTTATGATAGGACGCTTCATTGGGTGAAAATGTGTGAAACTAATGGTTCTGACACACCACGATAATTAATCAATAAACATCTTTAAACTATAGCTTTATTGATGGTAAAAAAAAAGTATTTTAATAGTGCCCATATCAAATAATCAATGAATAGGTAACTTATTGACCGGACCCTCAACTTGACCCTCAACCACACAGCTTTTAAAGGTTACTTGTGATCTATTATATACATAAAGATAAAAGTGGGTTTGTTTGTTTCAATATTAGTTTAAGTATATCCTTACATATATATTACACGTAGATTGCTAACATTTTCAACTGTTGGTCCATATAACACTAGACTTACCAGAGGCTATAACATTTATTTTCCTAACTCAAGCTTACCCACTATGGACCTAAATTATAATTTTAACTTAAACACCTGTGTCCCTATCTGACTTATATATTTTTTTTAAAATCTATTTTATTTATGGAAAGTGTAACACACATTAATTTATTGTAACACCGATCCTTTTGTAACGCCATCGTAATAATATATCCATGTTTTCATAACTGCCACAAAATCGTTTGAGGACTCATTAGATTAGCATCACGACTTTTATTGAATCACAATGAACTCACAATAAAATAGTATCTCTTTCAATCAGAGTAAAAATTTAATTCTTCATCTATTTCCTCTTCTCTATGTACAACATTAAGATGCTGTAAAAATAACTATATTTAGTAGATTAGCGTAGCAAGAGCTATATTGAAAATTTCTCCAGCAGCTGTCATTTTTACCGTTAACTCTCTAATCTATCCCTTCATTCCCGCACTTCCTGTTATTTCTATTTTAAAAAATAACCCACTATTCCACGATACAAAATTGATATCTGAGTGTTAGATCTGTGACAAAAAGTTTTACCTTCAAAACGTATTTAATGTCCACTTTTAGTACTTCCTTTTTATTTGAATCAGTGCTACCTTATGAAACTATTTGAATTTAAAAAAAAAATAAAACAACTAAACTATTAATAGGAAGAAGCTAAAAAGGGCAAATATTGCATTTATTATTTAAATGTTTATAAACAGAACTTAGATATCACATGCTATACACTGGAAAAATAAACAGTAGAACAAGATAACTTTGGAAAAGGATTTTGTCACTTTCTCATGAGACTGTTACACTAATATAATAATCAAAAAGCAGTTCTAACTGTATTTGGCAAACGATTTCAATGATACTCATCTTAAACTTTAACGACCTCCTTAAAGTTTTTAAATGATACATTTTACTCTTTATATCAATTTCTTGAAGTGATTTACATATGTTAAGGCTTATTATATGGCCCCCTTCAGATACACATTATTTGTCACCATTTTGACAGGGATGTTTTGTTAGACTTATAGATATATAACCACGGAGAGAAGTAGCAAAACAAAAAGTCAGATATGATATAATATTAGAGGCATGGACTTAAACTTCTAAATTAAATTACACTTACCCTCTTCTATCAAAGTAATTGTAACATTTAATGTTGTCTTAATTGTTAATGTGTAGTTCCTAAGTTATTAAGTGATAAATGTTACTCTTTATGGACCAATATCATGAAATGATTTACATATTATGTTAAGGCTTATTTCATGGCCCCCTTCAGAAATACAATATCTGTCACCATTTGGACAGAGATGTTTTGTTAGATTTATAGATATATAACCAGAGGGAGAAGTAGCAAAACAAACATTTAGATATGATATAACATTAGAGGCATGGACTTAAACTTCTATATTAAATTACACTTACCCTCTTCTTTCAAAGTAATTGTAACATTTATTGTTGAATTAATTGTTAATGTGTAGTTCCTGAAGTCTTCGACTTTGAGTTGAGACATTCTTAGTAGAATAAAACTGGAATTTCCCATTTTTACAACTGAAATATCGAAAGTCTTATTTGTGTATTGAATAATTTTTTCCAATGTGATGTTTCCACTTGTAGAAAGGACACAGACCGTTAGGTTAACTTTGCATCCAATAGCTGCATTTTCTATTATATTTTGAGGCTGCCAATCACATAATTTCATTATACCTGAGGGTAAAAAAATATTATTTCCGTTTGCTTAAATGGCAATGCTTTCAACACACACAATAAATTATAGGTAGACGAGGAATAATGTATTATTTTAATGTCTTTTATGTTTTAGTTTTAAAGTCAAGCAGGACGTGTCTAGGGGATGGTTGCAGCATCGCGTGATACAGGAAGAGTTAAATAAATTAAAATTTACTAACAAGTACACAAAAACTCAAGAAAAAAAAAGGAACATTAAAAGATGTATTTAAGGTCAACAAAAGCTTTAACAAAAAATAAATATTCCTATGTCTATTATTTAATGACTGTCTGTACTATGTTCATTATCAAATACGTATGTTTCTATGTTTATGATTCTATGCAATGGAAACGTCAGATGTGAGCGTATTTTTAAAAAAAAAAGTTATCTTATTGTATGACATTCTAGTACGTTTTATTGCATTATAAGCTTAAAATTTTAAAACAAGCTTAAAATATGTTTGTATTATGTCTCAATTTTTATGTCATCATAAAGTTCGTACAGAGATTTACCGAAAACTTCATTTCTTTTACATTTTTAAGGACTGTATTTACATTTATAAACGGTTGGCCACCCACGTGACTCAAGAGATGAAAACATACAATTTGACAGAGCTTGTCAGGGTCAGTCGAAACAAAATTCTTAGTTAAATTCAGTAGTAGGCTATCACCAGAGCTGAGTAATCCATTTAAGTTTGCGTCAGAAGCAAGATGCCGAAAGTGCTAACATTGCATCATTTATTACATTTGTTAAGCTACACGCTCGACAGAATTTAAGGTGTCCACTGAAGAAAAAATGTGAACAAATAAAACGATGTGTCAAATTCCTTATTGTATATTGTTGTTTTAAAGTATTTATAAAGTTTCAGATTTCTTTATAAAACACAACTTTTTTTTTGCATCATTTTTTTTTTGCATCATTGTACAAGATCAATCTTTTGTTCTAAGTCTCAATTGTATTCTACCCAGTTGACAGAGCAAAATATGTGTTACTATTTAACGTTTTACGATAACCCTCTTGGAATGTGATATTATAGATTCTCTACAGATACACTAATTAAGTAACACCTATTTTATTACGATATTCCTACCTCTTGCTTCATAAAAGAGGAGAGTATCTAATATTTAACTGCTCCGTCTGCCTGGTCTTTAGGTTGTTTACCAAATAAAAACGAAAAGGGAACAATGATAATGTTGTCGGAGTGATTTAGCCGGGTAGTAGTTTGCAGATCCTATTTAAATCCTATGTTATTCCATATGTGGAAAAAAGAGATGTTATATTCTCTTTTTACAAATAAACATATGTTTAGCCATTAAGAAAATTAATGGCGTTAAAAAATCGTGGGTACATTTATATAAGTTTATCCTTCAATATCAAAGCCCAATCATTTTACACACTTGAAAATTAAACTTTGACAAAATGAAGATGGTTTAATATTTTCTTTAAAAACAAATCAAAATATATTTTTGATTTTACTTTGCAAAAAGTAAAGAGGTGTGTATTTTAATGAGATTAACAATTTTTTTTTTTTTTAAAGACACTCAAATCTAATATAGGCGTGAAAAACAGATGCGATATTCCTCTTACATAAAATAATTCTTTGTTTTACGATTTTCTGATAATGTATAATTTTTTTTTAAAGGCAAAAATGAGTTAACATTTTTGATGAAGATATCATTATATATCGAATTCCTAAACTACAAAATATATTTGTATCATGTATTGAGTTTTTGTTGTAAACTTAAGATTGTTTTTTTGTTGTTTTTTTAAATTTTGAAATCAAAAAGTTGTAATTCAAGGGCACAAAAAGGGTTAAATCTAAAGTATTTCTCTTGCATAGTAGTTGTCCCTCAAATAACTTCTTTAGTGACAAAAGTGATATAATTAATGATAATCTAGACTGGGAAATTTAAGGCTATTTTTAGAAGGGGAAAAGTAGGGGCGTAAAAGGGTGTAGGGTATTTGTATCATATATAGCAGATAAAAACTTCTCAAAACTTAATGCTGTTAGAAACGTAAATATCATTACATTTTAAAAGTTATGAAATTGGATGAGTTTCTGCAAAAGCAGTTAGAAATTATTGCAAAGGATCTAACATTATTATCCCGATAACATCAGCTCATTTACTCTAGTATGGAAGAGTGAAACTGAACAAGACTTGTATGTTTAGGCATTCACGAAATTCTGGTATGCTCAACATTCATCAATGAACCGGGAAAGTTTCAAAATTATTTTTTTTCAAATCGCATTTCAGAACACAAGATCATCTTTATCATAAAAATTTCTCAGATTAAACACATGAAGAGGAGCCTTATAAGATGGCTCTGTATGTCACATTGAATTGCCAGAAATTTACAACCTTTTATTTTAAAGTAAACTCATTGCCTTACAAAATCATGCCTAACTAACAAGCTGAAAACTAGTAATATTTCTACTTTTAAAAATGTAAACATTTAATTTAAAAACGTAATGGGGAGTGGGTAGAGGCTGTTTATTTTGGTTTCTTATCAAACAACACACATGGGCGTTTAACAGGAAACACTGCGGTCGATGCTATTTGTACTAAACATTTGTGCGTAACTTGTAAAGACGTACTACATAATGATGCAACACATCCCTTGAACTACGTAAATTCAGTTTAAATTCACAACTTAAATATATACATTTACAGCCTCAATTTTATATATATATTTTTTTAAAGAAGCAAACCAAACTTAAACAACTGTCAAAATGTAATGCATAATGTATCACACATGCGTTTGATTTGTGAGCTTGATATACTTTGTCACATCGAATGGCTAAAACTAGAGAAAAAACATAAACAGTAAGAGAGAAACTCCTGGCGGGATTGTTTTAGGATGTTTGCTTACACAAATACCTAAGAGCTAGAGTTAAGATTTGAGTTATTATATGCAACAGTGTAAATAAAAACACTGGGAATAATGTTTGAATAGCATCTTTTAAATGTAGCTTTTAATTATATCATATATTTACTTGAACTTGTTATACTTAAACAACGATGTATTTACTGTTTTATAAATTTATTAAAAAGATAATTTTAGTTATTTTATTCTTCGTGTTAAATGTGTGGAAACACATTACTCTTTACCAGGGGTCGGGAACCTATTGCTCGCGAACCAGATGTTGCTCTATTGATGGCTGCATCTGGCTCGCAGACAAATGTTCGATTATTAAAAAAAGTTACATTAATGGTAAGAAATGTTCATTATTGATTAACAACAGCATAACATTGTTATTAAAAAGAATTGAGCGACATAATTATTGCATTTTTAGTGTTGAAATTACACAAAATGCACATTTTTCTTGAATTTTTAGTTTTAAACATAGTGTATGGCTCTCACAAAATTAATTTCCAAAATATGTGGTGTCCATGGCTCTTAGACAAAAAGGTTCCCGACGAATGCTCTAGACTATTAATAAAAATGAAAAATCTTACTTTCATATAAATATTGTTAATTGTTGTAGTCAAATATAAAATGTGTAAAATAACATGTTGGAATAAAAAAAATATATTGTAAGCATTATTATCGGAAACCTAATTTTTTAAAAAATAAAATGCATATAGGCAACTTCATTAAATATTAATTTCAATACATAATAATCCAATTAACAACTAATGTCACTTATGCTTTTTCCCAACTCAATTCCCGAAATGAATTTCTTAAAAATACCACACGTCTGTTAGGTTGTTTTTTTTTTTTTTTTGCTATTTAGGGAAAGCAAACCACTAACAAAAACATATTGCATTTTTTAAACGACGTTAATTAATTAGAGTATTCCCTAAAATGGTATAAAGATATCGCAAATATAGAATGTACTATGAACTAATACATATCCTAAACAATTAAACTGTGTTTAGATCAAACCTGTGCAATTTTCCAAAAACACATGAAGTTCATATGACTTTGTTTTATTTTGAAAATTTGTGACGTTACATTGATAGGTTCCAATGTCATCACATTTAAAAGACCTCGGAGACGCTTTTAAAGTTAGGCTTGAATTTAGTTTCGTGTTCCTCGAAACTTCCAGCGTAAGATTAGATAAACTTTTTTTCCCGATTGAAATCATTTTAGGATAATCGTAGGCTTTACAAAAAAGATTCCAATCATTGGGTTTCTCATTCCTGGCATAGCCAAATGAAACGTTTCTTGGACCTGGAGATAACAATTAAGTATGAGTTAGTCGTATATCGTCTCATTGCATATATCTGCATTGTTAGGTAAGTTAAAGAAAGTAAATATTTTTATAGCTGGATTACATATAACCTCAAACATATTAGCTTTTAAAATATTATTTTGGATATTTAATATAAATATATAATAAGTATAGATATTTTTTTTTATTTTGATATATATATATATATATATATATATATATATTTAAATGTGTAGATGTAGATGCCTTTAATAATAACAAAACTTATAATTTCCTAAGAAGTTAATTTGACATTTATTAGACTAATAATCAGTAACAGAATAAGAACGTACCTTCAGATGAAATCCACAATTTAAATGTTAAGACTTGTGCTGAGCTATAAGGTAATGCTATAGCAACATGTCCATAGTCATAAACGGAAATATTTCTTATAAATATATTGAGCCATTTGTGTGAAGGTTGTGTTTCATTCTCAATCACATTAAAGTTTATTTTGTCATCTGTGACGTTTTGTCGAATCCATCGTGTGTCGTATCTCAGCGTATATGTTTTTAAAGTTGATATGTTTGTTATGAAACATATAGATACATTTAAATTGGTGCCAAGTTCTGCTTGGATATGTCTATCATGGTCCTTGCCATCACAGAATATAGAGTTACCTGCAAATGAAATTAGACATCAAAACTATTCATGAATAGGAAAAAAGTGTGATATATGGAATGCATGCGCCAACATTAACAGTGCTCAAGTTTTTGAATCATGTAACCATACTTGTGATTATATAACGTCTTATACCTACAGTCGCAAAGTGTTTCCATGAATGAAAAAGAGAGCATTTTGATACCAAGTTTTGGAACCTTCTACTCTCTCGAAGTCAAACTGTGTAAAACGAAGGATAATTCTGTTTGACAAATAAGTTTAATGATAAATACGTAGAATGTACGTGTTTTAAAGACGGTACAGAGTATTCAAGTGTAATAGAAAAAGTACACATTCAACTATTCTAAATATTAGAAATAGATAAGTAAAGTAGTTAATTTTTTTCTCTTGTTTTGCTGTTTCTTTGATTGGTAAAAAAATTGGTGGGAAAAGGGAGTTAAGGGTGGGACAAGTAAGATTTTAAAGGCAATCTATGATTTCTTAGCGAAGTGTTTTTTTTTTTTTAAGGTTAAGAATTAAAAATCTACAACAAAGTTCAAATTATTTTTACATTGTATCATTTGATTTTTAGAACCCCACAAAAATCTACCTCCACGAATATATATCTTTATATTTATATATATATACATATATATATATATCTGTATTTATCTATATATGTATATATGTATATATGTATATATATATATATATATGTATAAATATGTGTGTGTATGTATGTGTTTTTCAGTCGTATTCAAACTGTAGTTATTTATTATAATATCCTTGCATCCTGATAGAAAACGCAACATCTTTAATATCCTTTGTCAGCTGGATTGTTTAACCTTGCCACTGTTTCTCACCATACATCTTTAAACACATACTTTGTATGTCAAATAATGTTCAGTAACAGTTGATGAGAAATATCCATTGGGCCGATTTCTTTTTTTCTCATCCATTATTTTTTTAAATTTTCTTTTGTTTCTTTGCTTTGGACCGAAAAAGGCGCAACTCACATTTGTAAGAAAGTTGTAACCCGAAATGAACCACTAACTTCGACCCAGTAAACAACCTCTTTACTAAAAACAAAACGATCAGATTAAAATCGGAATCCAAACTTTTCCTTGTTTGTTTTAAAAATAAAACATTTTAATATGACGGTAAGAGACGTGAGAGCCTCAGTACTTGGAGACTGATTTTGGATAATACTTATTTAAATAAACATTGTTATGTCATTACTACATTTTTAACTAAATAATTCGTAATGAGATATTTTGACATAACGACAAAAAGACAATACTATTTAATTTCGTTCGGATCCCTAAAACTAATCATAGTTATTTTCTATCATTTAACGGAAATCGAAAAATTGTACATGCGCAAAATATATTTTATTTCCAATTTCATTATAGCAAAAATTTAAGTATTATTATTATAAATTACAAATACATTTAAAGTAACCTCTAAGGAATCATTTTAAGCATTTTATCCGAATTTGAAAGTTATGAAAAAAAGTATTAATCAAAATATTATAATCTAAGAATTGCATCTTAATCACATTTATTGGGAAAACCCAAACATTTGTTATTCTAATTGCGTATTTTAGTGTGTTGTAAATAATGCGAAATAAAAATAAAATTAATTTAATCTAAACAAATTAGCAAATAACTATTTTGGCCTTAGCTCTTATTTTCTTTGATTTTATAACTGTGCGTGACAAAACTAATAATTAATGTTCCCATTCTTAAAATTAAAATTAATAAAAATAATAGATGATTTTTAAAATTGCTAAAATTTACTTAAATTAAATACAATTTTAGCTCTGAATTCGTAACATTTAATACACTTTTTACATTTGTATTATTTTTTTTTTAAAAATGTAAACTCTGTTTGTTTGGGGGTGGGGTGGGGGTGTTAGCAATACGATAGTTTCATTAGCCCAAGGCAGTGCAAGATATGCCTCAGGATGAATTTGACAAATATTTAACCTTTTAGGTACATAAATTTAGGATTTAAGCAATAAGGTGTGCACAGTTTTAAGTAGTTGACAATAGCTTTAAATCCAATGATATTACAGTTGTCAGAAATAAAAAATACATTCTCTTTTAACCAATCAAGAAAATCAATGACGTTAACAAAAAGTAAGTTTATTTACACTATTGTAACAATGAATATCAAAATCCATCATTTTTCAAAAGAGGAAATTTAATTTTCAAAATAGAAATAGGTTAACACTTTCTCAGACAGACAGACAGACAGAAAGACAGAAAAACAGAAAGGCAGAAAGGTAGAAAGACAGACAGACAGAAAGACAGAAAGACAGAAAGACAGGCATGCAGGCAGGCAGGCAAACAAACAGACAGAAAGGCAAAAAGACAGACAGACGGATAGACAAATAGTGGATAGATGGATGGATAGGTGGATGGATAGATGGATTGATAGATAGATAGATAGACAGATAGATAGATAGATAGATAGATAGATAGATAGATAGATAGATAGATAGATAGATAGATAGATAGATAGATAGATAGATAGATAGATAGATAGATAGATAGATAGATAGA